CTCCGACTCGTGTTCAGAGCCCATGTCCCCAGTGACATCCAATTCTTCGTTATCCAGTAGCTGCAGACACTTCAAGTCCTGGTGCTCATCAAACTCTAGAATTATTGAATTCAACGGACACCTATGGGGGATAGGAAACAAGTGAACAGCCCCAGGAGTGGTATTTGCACTGTGGCTAGACCGACTGCAACGTGCGTCGTCCGGTTTTTGCTGAGTGAGCCATACTCACACAAGTGGCTACTGTAGGACACATTGGGCCGAGCGCATCATAGCGCGTACAGGCGACAAGATACGCCCGCCTCTTCGACAACACATGCATAGCTGACGGCAACTCTGTCTGTCCTCTAAGACCACGCGGGCGTCGCTTGGGAAAACTTATGACAAGACATCCTTGGCCGCAGCCCATGTCGCGCGAGACGCGAAGCAGTGGCCTCGCGCAATCTACCTACGACCACTGCGACCCACCAGCGGGGACAGTGAAGACAATTGACTCGTTACGGCCGATGTCAGCAGCGCACGCGATCACAACAATTCACCAAGCCAGTGCGGATGTATGGCGGCAGGTCAATGTCGGGACGCGTAGGAGGATGAGGGTAGAGTTGCTCAAGTGGTCATGTACATATTAGCTGTTCGCGTGCAATACACTGTTGCTACTCGTTTCCAGCTAGCTACTCAAACGAGGGTGGGATGCTGCCTATCTGGCCTTCGTTCTGGCCTTTCCTATCTCTCGCGCTGCTTGGCTGGTCACTCACAGGCCCAGTCTTGCACGAGCATGACGAACATCTCATGCAGAACCTCCGGCAGAAGATAATATATCGAGGCGATATGGGGCGGTCAGGAGCTTCGACATGGCCATGACATCATTCTCCGTCGATGCCCTTCAATCTCAGTGCCTTGTCGGGCTGCTCCTGTCTGTGCGCGACGTCAGAGACATGTGCGCACCCATCTTGGAGGGCGGCATGTACTACAAGCTCGGGGGCAGCACTCGCCGATCAGCCTGTGACGACGCGGTGCTGTTCGTGAGTGAGAGGTCTCAGGCTGCTCGATCAATGGAAAGGTAAAGCGGACACACCTTGCGCCCAAAACCTCAGTACTCGGTCCTTGCTGACGGAAGAGCATGGTGACTAGGGTGGAAGAAGCTCGCCGGTGACGGGATCAGCCTTTGAGGGGTCTTACTCGATTTTGATGCGCCGATCGAGGCCGCCAATCTGCCGCCAATGAGCGGCCACACCCCCCGAACCGTTTTCTCGACGCCTGACTTCGCGTTCCCTGGATGCTTCGGACCAGTCCTCGACGAGGTCTAGCACCCTTACTCCTCTACGACGGTGCATGCTACAACATTGCCCAGACGTTGCTCGGGTGCGCCGCCACCCTTGCCTGCGCGCTCGTCTCATCTCTGTCCTCCGCGGCCATGCGCAGTACTTTCGCTCGTCACGCCTTGTGTCGCTCTCGGCGCGTTCGCCGGCACGGTCGACGAGTCTGCCGACGTAGTCGACGAGCCTGCCCTGTGCTCCGCTGGCCTTGCTGTGCGACTAGTTTCGGCCGCCGTTTGTCGGTAGGAGCACCGATGGGGCGGCGCGTTTGCTGGACGCGAAGGTGCGTCGTCCTCGGTGTGGCGGTCGTGCCGACTGTTCGCGCCATCTTCCTCACTGGAGCCGAGTGCAAAGAACCATCGCTACTTTCGACGGCATCGAAAGTAGCTGTTGTATTGGTTTGAACGCTGGAATGAGTGCGCGGACTGGCTGACGGCTGTCTTCGTGGTCATCGTCGTGGTTCTTGTCGCCCCCGTGAGCCCAGTCGACCTGCACTGACGCAGGGAAAAAGTCTGAGAATCAAACGTAGTCAGTAAATCATTAATAAGCGGCTCCGTACCTTCGACAACCCAGCACCGCTGTCACTGGGCCCATCTCTTGCCGTTCGACCTCGCCTCTTCTTCCCTTCTCGCCCTTCAGTCTACTCCTTCTCTGCATCGCCCTTTGTCCTGCATCCTGCGTCCTACACATTTTTCAGCGGTCGTGCAAGGTGGCAGCATTGCTGTTGCTGCTGCTGCTGCTGCTGCGGTGAGTGGTCGTAGTGGCCGAGGAAAGAGGCGGGAGGAGTAGAGGAAGGCGCGCTTTCACACGCGCGGCTACTGGGAATTAGGCGCTGTTCGGTCGCCAAGGTAACCTTCGTCGCTCCTCCTGCTTCTTCTTCTGCGTCACCAACCCCCACCTCCGCCAGCTCATTGCTCGCGCCTTTGGAGACCTGTTAGTAGAAGCGCCGCGTGGGAGTGGGTAAAGGCGAGTCACATCTCGCTTGCATTGTCCTGATCGTGCACCTAGGGCCTTGCTACGCGTCTCCCAAGCAGATGCCTCGACTGCCGGCAGCCCAATCTCCCTCGCCGCGCTTGAACGAACGCTGGCGGCCGACGGTCGCGTGCCTCGGCTCGCTGTTCTGCCCGTTGGGTCGCCTCTGGCTCTACAGGCGCGGAACGCGAGCCATCGCCGATCGAACGCCGTCGTACGCCCTTGGACGAAGCTGAAAACGCGTAGGCTGCGAATCCAGCCAGCCATCCCCTTCTATCGACCCTCTGGCGGCCATCCACGGACGCTCGGCACGCGCCAGCACAGTCTGGCTATCGCCCCGCAGCGGTCAGCCTTCGCCTGCAGGGCTGAAGCTCTCCCCGCTGCTCATACCACATCCAGCACGCGCCGAGCCTCTGCGAAGGGAAAAAAGAAGCTGCTGCGCCCTACTCCAAACACTCGCCGCATTTTGCGCGCGCTGGAGAGGAATGCGCACGGTGTAGCCGTGCGCGGTCCTCGTCAGCATACGCAATATGAGGGCCTGCCTCATGTCCGAGCCTAGGGCCTCTTATACACGCCGTAGAGTCGACACTGCGCCATACTCCCCCCGCTGCCGTGCCCGTTCGCCTATCCTGGCTGCTCGGTGACTCGCGCGCCCGAGACTACTTTCAGCGGCGTCGAAAGTAGTTGGCCGCAGATATGCAGGCTTCCATTCCTCGCAGTCGACCCATGCCGGCCCCACCGACGCGATCTACAAGCCAGGTAGGTTAGCGTTCCCACCCGCCAGCTGTACTTGCGCGAGGTTCGCGCTCCGCGGGCGAAATCGAAGGTGCGCCACTGCCGGCGACTACGCCCAGCGATGAACATCTCCCTGTCGCCGCGTTTTAGTTCGTACTGGGGAGCATGCTCTGCGACGCCTCCGCATAATGCCCTCGTCAGCGTGCGCGAAACGAAAAGGTCTCGCCGCGCATACACATCTGTACATTCTGAACATGACTACTCGCCAAACGCTACATTCCCCCTGCTGCTCTTCCTTAAGGTAGCTGACATGAAACCAAGTATATTTAATTTTTTGATGTTCTACCGAGTGCACCTACTGGTGTACATGGAGTAAACACACGGTCTTTCCTTCAGCGCCGACAACCGTGGCGTGCTCCTTATTTGGCTTGCGCTCTCGCTGGCGTCGCCTGTGCTCATGCTGACGTTTCCCGACCTTGTTGTCTTCGTCTTCGTCAGCGCCACACCCACCGCCGTCCATTAATTGCCATACGCGTCCGGTCAGCACAAAGCGCGTGGCGACGGCGATGCCGACAAAAAAAACGCGACCGTTCGCACGCGCGTCCGTGTTGAAGCAGGGAGAAGCCCGCGCGCAAAGCCCAGCGCGCTCGCCGGCTTGCTGGGGCGCGGGGACTTTGGCTTGACCCGCAGGCGCGGGCGTCGACGAACAGTGGACGACGCCTACCGGCACGCGTGCAGCAACCACGTATCTTCGGCCGATATTCAGCGCAGTCAACCGTGTACGCACGGGTAGGAGCGGCGCGCGGTGGGCTTTGTGCGGCGCGGCGAGAGACGGGCTGCAAGCGGGCGGCGGCAGCGATGGCCGGCAGCCAACTGCCTCAACAAAGAGCAAAGAGGGCGTGGCAAAGAAAGACAGCAGTGCGCCGGCAACGGCCCCATGGTAACAACAACTGTCACCGCATATGCCCAACCGTGCATGACTGACAATGGCTCTCAGAAGCTGCGTGAGAAGAAAGAGAAGTTGCGAAGAGCGAGCGACCAGTGCACAGCAGCGCGCACACCGCTTGCTGCCGGAAACGCTCTATTAAACAGCCAAGCAGAGCACCTGCAGCTGCTGGCGTGACCATGCACAGAGGTGGCGTGGTGCAACAATAATGCCCATAGGTCTGCAAGCAAAGGCCCACGGTGAAACGCAGACGGCAGCGCACCACAGTCGCTATTATACGTGCGCAATCAGGAAAGTTACAAGAGGTGAACTAACGGCACATGTCAGTGTATACACAGCTGTATATCGCCAGTGATGTTTTATCAGACAGATAAGTGGAACATCTGCAGCCAGCCGGCACAATTCAAGTTGCACGCAGACTCGGAGGTGACATAACACGGCGTAATCAAGGGCGTACAAGCAACAGTGTGTTGATGCTGCCATCGTGAGCGAACAAGCAGCGATGGAGCCTGGGAATTGTGAGATGGAGACAATTCGCAAGCTACCTACGATGCGCAGAGCTCAATGCCCTG